AACGAAAGTACGAAGAAGAAAGTCACGAAATAAAAAATTTTTAAAATCTAACTTAAATCCAAACTCAAATTCTAATTATAAATAAAACGTGAAGTTCTTCAATTCCCCTCCAAGAGCCGATTTACATCAAGGCTCAAGACAGAAAAAAAAAATTTTCAAAAAAAAATTAGAAATAAAAAAAAAAAAAAAAAAAAAAGAGGAATAACAATCGAAATTTTCTTTTACAAACTTTATTTTACAACTAGTATTAGATTTTAGAATCAGTTTTATTTCTCATAGGCTAAAACCGGTTTTAACATATAAAAAATAAAAACCGGCTCTAAACTCTAATTAGTATTATTAATCATAGGCAAAAGAAAGGTATAAAAATATAAAAAGTTATATAATAATAATAATAATAACCTTAAAGTGCACGCCCGTAACCAGGTGAAAACATTATAAGATTTCGAAATAAATTCGAAGAAACGTCGTAAGCAGGGCTGTTAAAGGGTTCTTCGACGGCTTCGAAAAAATTTAAGGCTTCCGATCCACAGTCTCTATTCATGGGTTCGGGTGGAAAGGATCATACTATTAACGATCCCTATTAGAACGAACCGTCACATTAATCCCTAATTTGACAATTTCATATATTAGTATTAACAACCTGAACGCGTTCCAGATGTGCGATTTCGATGTCGGTTAGTTGGTACTACCAAAAATGGAAGTTCCGTAAGATGAACAAGACACTCTGTTGTAGGTTGTAACAAGACATTAGTTCTGAAAGGAACGCCCCGAAAACCAATTTCACGGAATGGAATATCACATCAACACGTCCTTCGCTCTAAAGAAAAAAATCTTTAAAATTTATTGGAGTAAAAATTGGCAATTTCAATGAACACCTTCTCACCGCTTCTGCAACTTTTTCAGTAAACTGCTTGAATTCTTTGTTCAGAAGTGCTATTCTGCACTGTTCTTCCTGTTCAGCTCCAAGTTCATCTTCATCACCATAGCGATATTTCTTTTTCGATTACCTAATTGTACATCTGATGCTTCACGGTAAAATTGTATATCCTGTTCAGATTTTTAAAAAATTAGTGACTTATGTAAGTTACATGGATGTTACATACTCTAAACCAACATAAATATACGCACTCTAGCCAATCTTTAACGTTTTCTAATTGGTTCATTGGAATGGTGTTGATACGAACAGAAGGACGAGTATAATCTTTAAAAATAAACACAATCGAAAATTTTTAATCCAAACTAAGGTATAAACGTATGCTAGTAGTAAGTGTCAAAGAAGCACCGGAGAAAACGCCGTAGAATATCAAAAGATTTTCTGAAAAACTAGGTATTCACATTAAAATGAATAGAATGAAAGTTGTTAGAAATCATTTATAAATAAATAACTATATAAGTAAAAATAGATTATGCCTCATAGTAAAAAAAAATTTTAAAAAGAATATAACGAAAGTACGAAGAAGAAAGTCACGAAATAAAAAATTTTTAAAATTTAACTTAATCCAAACTCAAATTCTAATTCTAAATAAAAAGTGAAGTTCTTCAATTCCTCTCCAAGAGCCGATTTACATCAAGGCTCAAAACAGAAAAATAAAAAATTTTTTAAAAAAAAAATTAGAAATAAATAAAAAAAAAGAGGAATCAGTTTTATTTCTCATATGTTAAAACCAGTTTTAACATATAAAAAATAAAAACGGCTCTAAACTCTAATTATTATTATTAATCATAGGCAAAAGAAAGGTATAAAAAGTTATATAATAATAATAATAACCTTAAGAAGCGCGGCTGTAAAATGCGTAGAGCTAGAAGCAATTGTAAAGCGTTAAAACAGACATTTGCAAAATGTCAATAGAAAATACGTGTAAATATAAGATATTAAGAGAATATCAGAAAGAACATTTACAAAAGGCTAAAAAAACACCAAAGTAAATACCTGTAAGACGCCAAAGAATACTAAAAAGAACCTAGGACACATTACTCTGGTTATATTGACACCTCAAAAAATAAGAAATTGTCCAGATGCCGGATTTCGCAACCACGATTATTTAAAGAAAAATTATCAGGAGACTGTTATCTATCTCGGATCATCAAAAATAACCTTAATTAGAAATTAAACATTTATTTGCTGATCATCCACTGTGAATCTGATATCGATATCAGATTCTGAATCCTTATTTATACTTTTTTGGCTAGATATCTGATGGCAAAAAAGTCTTGTGATAGCTATTGTCCGAACGTCTAGTGTTCACATACCAATTTCGTAAAGACAACAGTGTTCTTGCATATCAATATCCAACAAGGTACAGCAGAGATTTTTACTAATCAAAGTTACACTTAGTTTTATAGTGCTTGCCTCGACTATTCCATGTTCTTAGAAGATGTTTCCCTTTCACTTAGCTTTTTATATCATCAACCATTTTCAAATTGGTAAAGCATTTCTTTCATTATGAGCTTTATCAAGTGACTATATGTAAATTTAAGAAAAATCGGTTATAGCAAAAAAAAAACTTTGTGATCTGATGTTTAGTACGACATTGTTTCACTCTAACAGTTGTATTTGATCAACCATACTGGACTCATTACATTCATTTCCAAATCCATATACCTATTATTAATTTTGACATCCTTGATTAAACTTTATTCTTCACATTTCTATATTTTTCATTTAAACGAGTTAAGCATATTGTCACTTTTGAATTAATTATTAAATGATGAATAATATTTAAATATATATTTTAAGGGAATTGATATTTCCACACCCTTTTTTGATATTGCCACACCCCTGCAAACTCTAAACTAACCAAAACCCTAATAATTTATATTGATTTTTATTAGCA